GAGGGTATGTAATCCCCAGTGGTCTCGTCGATACACTAGCCCCTGAAGTGGGAGAGGACCGAGGGGAGCGCGGAGGGCCAGACCCATCAGTACGAGGCCCATAAAAAACCAAGAGAAAAATAAATGAATGAACAATAAAGCCAATACCGGAACTTCCAGTAGGTCAGAGCATCCATAGTAGGTTAGGCCTCCACCAATGTCCTGGGATCTCCACTACTCTCCATGCGTCGGCGGTCCGGGCGTGAGGAGCCAGATCTGGAGCGGGATGCACCTCACGCCGCCATGGTTAGGACACGCCCCCCACCATGGCATTACTTAATTTTATTAGACAGTAATGATACAACATGGAATGGATGTAACAAATGCAAATAGCTTATTTTGTTTCATGTAAGTCAGAAGGGAAGATAATGGAAGACAAGTCAACTGTGCCCTTCTATTTGATAACTAGGAGCAAATTAATTTATACTGATCAACTCAACTGTGCCCTGGAAAACACAGATTTTAAAAGGCAGCTTCTTCTGTAGTACCTAAGCTGTGCATACACATTACATGACAAGGGCATTGTATACGGCTCCTATTGGTCAAATAACCTCCAACAATTAAATTCAATAATAACTCTATTAATGAATGACACAACACTGGTCTTGGATTTTTAGTGGCCACAGCAACCATTTTATTATTTAGTACCAAAGCCAATTTGTAACCATTGTAACAAATTGTAACAAACTAACTGACCACGGAGTTAAGGTCCTTGACGTGATATCTATCACCAAAAATACCCAGTATCTGCCCACACGGCCCCCAGCCGCACAATACTGCCTCGGGGACTTGTAATCTTACATCAGATACTAAGTAACTAATGATAGACCCGTTAAGACAGGGATGCCATACCAAAGACGGCTCCCCACTGTCACTTAAACCTCAAGCAAATATGTTGCACCTCAAGGACCCTAATACCCTTCCCGGCTGCAGTGACAAGACAACATTATAAAACAGACAGAAAAAAGGACAAAGTAGATGAAAAGGTAGAAAACAAGAGAAAACACAAAGGCAACAAAACAAATATGACAAACAGGGCGTGAGGGCGGGAAGCTGCTTCCACGCTGCTGATGCCACCGAGACTGGCCTTTCCTTCTTCCCAGGGGGCCACCTATCCTCCTCCTCCCGGCACCCTGACCAATCAGGTAATTGACACCACCCAAAAACTCTTTTAGATAATAATTCAACCCTATCTAAACCCTGTTAGCCTCTCCAAGACCCTGTCATGTTGGCCCTACACAGACGCCTCCGTCTGCTGTTCCAGGCGTGACTGGACAAGAAATGGCCATATCGGGGGAAAATGAGCTCTGCCCCTTATTGCCATTGCTGCTGATCTGTTAGAACTTTATCTACTGACATTTAGCATTGATAAACTCTATTGCATGCAAGTGAAAACATATAAAGGGTCTGCAGCAAGTTAGGACTAGGAATGAGCCAAACACCCCCGTGTTCGGTTCTAACTCGAACTTTCGAACATGAAAAAAGTTCTAATTCGAACTTAGAACTCGATGCAAGTATATGGGGGTAGAACTCAGAAAATTAAATGTCGCTATTTTGAAGCCTTATATGCAATTAATTGGCCATAAAAAGTGTATGGGGATCCGGGTACTGCCCTGGGGGACATGTATCAAAGTTAGGACAAAATAGATACAAAATATTGATTCTGTCTGCTGTGTTTAATGTTTTACTGAGATTGTGACTGTATTGCGCCTTTCAGGTCAAACATTTGATGAACACCAAGCAGTGGAAAGCTGCATTTTTTGCTGTTTAGCTAACTATTTTTTTTATGATGATTATTATAATGTTTGGCTGGAGTTTAACGTTAAACTCAAGTATCTACTACCGGTTGAGATTCCGGTGTGTGTGTTGTAGTATGTTTAACTCTTAAACTATGTACTGTAAGTTAGCATGTTATCTCAAAACTGAATAAAAAATGTATTGAACCAGAAAGTATTGTCATTGCTGAATACCTTGAACATCTGGATACTTTATAAGATGCAAGACTCCAAAATTGATTGTAACAGATGTGGTTTCTGCTCCACCAATGAACATGTCAAATACTGTGGATATTAGGTTAGTTTTATCAAAACAAGTTTGGGAATCCAGCTTTTCCTGTTGAGTCAAAGGTGAAATCAAATCAGTCAGACGGTGAAAATTTCAGCTAGCACTCATTTAAAAATAATTATGTAAAAATCAAACCCACAGCTGAACGTAGGGTCTCAATGCCATACCATCATCTCTTCAGGGAAGCCTATCCCACCTCAACCTAACTGCTCAACCATCACATTCTCAAACAATTCATCCCCACTCAGCTACCTCCTCATGTATCACTTCCCCCTCGGATTTAGATTGTAAGCCCTCATGGGCAGGGCCCTCCTTACCATCTTTTCTTGAATTGTATTGTAATTGTAATGTCTTCTTTATATTGTAAAGCGCTGCGCAAACTGTTGGCGCTATATAAATCCTGTATAATAATAATAATAGAAATTAGACCACAGAAGGTCTTATTCCTTCCAAGTGAGTGAAGAAATAAGTTGTTTTAGTTGTTCATAGCAACCATACTCCTTTCTCCTTCTCCAGGAGCACCATTATATTTATTGCAATGGACAACTACATCAGTTCTTTCATAGACACTGTAATAAAGACCCGGTAAGTTGCAGCACTTAGGCCACTAGGGTTAGCATACAAAAATCAGATAATAACCTGTTCCATTCTGATGAGGAAGCAATCTATGTAATCTCGTGGGCAGGCTGGATCCAGAGTCTCCTGATGGCTTCTGATACTCTCTTTCACAATTTCCTTTAGATTTAGTAAAAGAGGGAACATTCTTCTGTGCGGTCCTGGCAGATATCGCATAATGTGAGGAATCATGTCATACAACTGGAGGGGAGAAAATGTTGACAGTGTACAACTGTGTTCTTCAGAGCTGGTCAGTGGTGTTTGCCGACAGCACATACAGTCCCTGATACAATGCATATGTCTTTTATCAGCTGTTACATGTTAGAACAGCTATGCTTCTACTGGGAGGTCTGCACAAACATGCACCTTTGGAAGTCACCAAGGAACTGAGTTGTGAAAATCTGGAATATATTATGGTGGTTATATTGAAGTATAGTAATTATTATAGGTGCTATTCTCCGTGTCATTGACAGTTCTGGTAGAAACAAACTGTCACCAACACACTGAGGAAATATGCGCAAACTCCATCTATATTGACATGTGGACATTATGTCACAAAGATAGCGATGTTTCGGGTCCCCTTAGGGTCCCTTCATCAGGAGAACATTGCTGGTGACAATTCGTTTCTACATGGATTTGAGTGGCGCCATCCGCTATCACTACAGCACTCAACATCAAAGGGGCATTCCAGTCAGGGGTGCAGTGGGATTCTCATTGGATTGACAGCTCTGGTTCCCACCATCAGTGGGGTACCAATCAGAGTGGTGGCCCACAGTGTGATTACTGTGTTAGCTGTGACAGTGATCACATGCAGGCTGTGGGTGTCATTTACAAAATAGGCCAACAGCCTGCAGATGGCACTGCAATCTGAAGGAGTAACTGTGCTGCCAAATGCACAAAAGTATATAAATGTGTTTAATACTGTAATTCTGTCTAACAATTACAGTTTTAAAAAAACAATTATTTACATTACGTTTATTCATTTTTTTATATTTTACAGCACATAAGAACAAAAGAACAGGGATTTAATAATAAAAAAAAAGTGTATATGTCATTTAAAATTATTTAGGTATGAAAATTATGTATAGAGTTATATTCAGATCAACCAAGGCATGCTGACTCTGCTAAAAGTCTGAGAATATATAGTTTATTGACCTCTGGTCACAAAAGGGTTAAACAGATCTGATGAATCAGTATAAAAATAAGTAAACGTAAAATAAAGGCAACATAATAAAACAAACCTCAAATCATTGTAGTTTGTCCTTTAAGAACTGATATCCAGCTGGATGATATGGGTTACTGTACATAACATCTCCCTGTCCTACCCAAGTGTAAATACAGTTAACATGTTATCCATGTGTACGTGTTCTTTTGTAAGAATACCTGTCCCCAGGGGGAGGAAATTAGAGCAAACGAATCCCGCATGTCTTGGAGAATCTTCATCCACTTCTCATCAGCATAATCATAACGTTTCCCCACCAATATGGAAGAAATTATATTGGAAGCAGCACAGCTAAATATTGTGCTGGGATTTACTGGCTGCCCTGTGGAATATAATAACAACAACAGTATATATGAATGTAGGCTGACCGGATGTAGTGCTGAGATTAGCACTTGTAGTTCATAGTAGTTTTCAAATCTTAAATAATCAATTCAATTTGCAAAGCACAGATGTAGCAAATACTAAAGAAAGATAAAGACGTCTGGCAGAACTTTTAGCCAAAGCAAAGAAAAGTGACCTGTCTGATACAATAAATGTATTTATACCCACACATGTAAACTAGTTATTCACAAAAAAAACAAATATTGTTTGCTTTATATTCAGAATTTCCATTGGACTTGGCACAATATGACTAAAATACATTGACACCCTCAGGTATTTTCAGTAATAGGTACGGCTGTATGTGAATACTACAGCATTCAGAGGCATTCTAGATGCTTCCAACCTTGTGGCAAAAGTTTACGGAAAGCCATTTTATGTTTCAGCATTACTGTACCCCTTTGCACAAAGCCAATTACATAAAAATGGTTTAAGCATTTTGGTGAGAAGGAACATGAGTGAGCTGCACAGAGCCCTGACCTCAACCATACTGTACACCTTTGGAATGCCGATTGTGAACATGGTCTTCTCATCTATCATCTGCAAGATAAAAACAATGGGAGTGGCGAGCGCACAACAGGTGTGGATAGTATGGAAAAACCTTAAATAACCACTCCTTTAAAACGTTTTATTAATGATAAGATGACACTACTCCTTTCCAAGTAACACTTGTCTTTATACAAACAGTTACAACTGTACACACACACACCTAAAGAGGTTTTCTACATAACGGCTTCCAAAACCTGCACACCATGCCTCTGGAATCACCCCCCAGGAAAGACTGACCAATGACAGCCGTCGACAATCGTAAACCACGCCCACCTGTCTTTTTTAAACCACTGTATTTCCCGCCAGCTCCAGTGCACAATCTCAGAACTACTTCTGGCTTGACAAAGAGGTACAGAGCCTCGAAACGTGTAGCCACACCGACCACTCCACGGACCGCAAGGTCCCCTAGCCTGTAGCTTACTTTTTAACCCCTTGCATAGCGACCACTGCTCCACTGTCAGAACGGTGTACAGCGCTGCTCCTGCTCCCGATCAGCCGACGAGTGGCAGCCTGGCCAGCTGAGCTCTCATTGCACCTGACGGTGAGCGTCCCACTACACGCACAGTGTATTTCGCCTCAACTGGTCATCCGGCCACAAGATTCACCTTCCAACATCCATGGACTGAACAGAAGCCCCACAGCCCGGAGCTCACTCCCACACAGACCAGCCACAGATTCCGCCCTGCGAGCCGTGCTGACAATTAACGGCAAGATACCACCTCGTCCGTCCAAAAGTGAGTCTGCATCAATAGTTACATTATATCTTTCAACTGTTTAACTGTTAAACACCCAGTATTCCAGGTTTGTAGTGCTCCTTCTTTCGTTGTTTCTCATCTATCATCTGCACTTGACCTCACAAATACTCTGTTAACGGAATAAACACAAATTCCCACAGGTACACTCCAAAATCTTATAGAAACATATCTGGGACCAAAATCTTATGGAAAGCTTTCCTTATTAATGCCCATGGTTTTGAATGGGATGTCCAACAGCTCATATAAGTGTTGGTCAGGTGGCCACAAACATTTTGCCATACAGTGTATAATGAATGCTCAGGAGGTGGCAAGGATAGTTAACTTGACTCATATACACTTTGATACAGCAAAAATATTAGTAAAGTATATCCAAGCTAATGTCATCTTTTGAAGTCATACTGGTACATAATAGGAATGTTGATGATAACGTCTGTCTGGCTAAGGGTATATGGAGACCTATTGAGCAAGTCACTAGAGGTCTGTAATTGTAAAAACACTAAGATTTCCTAAATTGAAGAGGCTTTTGTAGCTCATGTTATCGGCCGCTCTACAAGTTTCTCCCTTCCGTTATGCTGCTACATTTATCCTAAAGTGCCCAAAGGTGGCTATGCAAGACAACCTCAGTTAAAGGAGAACTATGAGGTGAGTGCTTTTCACTCACCTCATAGTTCTAGCCAACCTGTGACAATGAGACTGTCACAGGTCGGCTCAGTAGATTGGGAGGTGAGCGAACACATACCGACGTTCGCTCACCTCTCCATCCTGTCACGGCTCTCTGCCGTGACAGGGGAGGGGCTGGATTTCCCCCTCCCCGCTCCGATCCGCCAGCGCTGACTGGCGGAACGGATGGGGGAGGGGGCGGGTACAGCTGGCTCTGCCTCTAGATAGGCAGAGCCAGCTGTCAGTCACGCAGCTGGGCGGATCCCGGCATAATTGTTGGGATCCGCTTCAGCCGCGGCGTCTCAGTATACCGCGAGCTACAGCTCGCGGTATACTGAGCCTAGGGTGACGGGAGGACGCTAGTTTGTGTCCTCCCGTTACCCTAAGGAGAACTATGGGGAAAAGCCTTAACCCCATAGTTCTCCTTTAATTAAAAACAAGTTATATTGGAGTTGATCTATTCAAAGTGTAGAGATTGTTCTCTTTCGAATAAAGGTGTGTTGCCCATGACTGGATGAATAAAATTAATAAAACGAAGTGAACATTTTCTACTTCTTTATTAAATCAACCCCATTTTTTGGTGCTGTCCCTTATTACAGTGTTGTCTTAGTCACAGACCCACCAGTCTTTCAGTAAAACTGCTTAGCAGTACCAAAAGAAATTGCATTCTTTCAGAAGCCCAATTCTAGTTATCAATCTTGTCCCATTATTTATACTTACCTTTAGTGTTTCTGAAGTAGTCTACAAGGTGGTGTGCTTCCTCTTGAATTGGTTCTTCTAAAGTCTTCTTGCCCATTCCGAAATCTTTCAGAGTATGAAGGGAAAATTGTCTCAGCTGTTTCCAGGATTCACCATTGCTGAGAGGCAGGCCTAGAAAAATGACATACTGTATATACAGTAGCTGTACAAGTACAATTTTGCTTTTGGAAGACAAATAAATAATGACCTATGTGATGAGACATTACATGTGTAAACGTTTTGCAGGTCACACCAAATGATTGATTTCAGGTATTTCCAGTGGAAGGTATTGTTAATATATAATATAGACAATCAGGCATTTTAGACAAATTATGCATTTCCAACCTTTCCCAACGGTGGTAACAGTTTGGGGAAGGCTGTTTACTGTCCCAACATGACTGTGCCCCCTGGGCACAAACCCAGTTTCATATAGATATAGTTTGAGGAGCTCTGTGTGAGTTCGAGTGGCCTACAAGAAACCCCAAATTCTCACAGGCAAATTCTCTCAGGAACATGCCACAATCTTGTGGAAAGTCTTCCCAGAAGAGTGAAGGCTGTTATAGTAGTAAAGCGAAGGCAACTACAGTCTAATGACCATGGGTTTGGAATTACATGTCCTACTAGATGTGATGGTTAGGTGTCCACAAACCTTTAGCTATATAGTGTACATTAGACTTCAACTTAGTGTAACCCAATCATCTGCTTGTGACAAAGAAATACATGATGGATCTAACCTAATTCTATATGTAAGGCATTGTCTAGTGTAGCCTTGATAACCACGGCTGCACCACTTTTAATATATTTTTGAGGCAGGCAAATATGAAATGATGCATAGAAAAATAATATATTTACAACCTTGAGCCACCAGTTGTAAGCAATTCTCACCAAACAGCTGTATTATGCTGAAGCCTATGTCCATTTTACAAAAGCAAACTGATCAATTAAAGTGTATGTAGAACTAAAACTTTTTTTTAGTTATGGATAGAGTTTGGTGAAGTTATAACTGCTGTCAGGTTTTCAATGCTGCCCAGTGTTTTGTTAGAGAGATTTACCCTCCCTCACTGTCAGTGGCGTCCTGAGGCCGGGTGTCACCCTGAGCGGTTACCAGGTGACACCCCACCATGACGCGCGTGCGTGATGACGTCATCGCGCATGCGCGTTGATCTTAGTCATTTTGGTGTCAACCCTCCAATGGTGTCACCCGGGTGCGGGCCACACCCCCCGCACTTCTCTTGTGACTACACTGCTTACTGTTCTTATGACAAAGGATTGCACCAGACAGGGAGTGAGCGGAAAATCTGCAACAGTGGCACAGACAGAAGTAAAACTTTTTTTATGTAGTATAGGAAAAGTTCAGAACCACTGTCGGTGTTGTATTGCAATGTGTTTCCCTGTTGCAAATTTTTCCTGTTTCCTGTCCGGTGAAACAGTTGTCACATTATAGAACATGAGAGAAAATCTGTTGAACTTTGATTTCTATTTTTCCTCAAAATATCCAAGACTGAAAAAAAATAATTATTGTGTTTAAGTAATTTACCTTTTTTGTTGTAAAATCTTTCAAATATAGGAATAGTTCCTCGGTCCAGGAAAATATCTCCAAGGTCAACCAAAATCTCTTTCACAGCCTCATATCCAGAAACAATGACAGTGGGTCTTGAGCCAAAGTATAGAGTGTACACCGGACCATACTTCTCTGCCATCTATTAGTAGATTAGACACATCTAAGTAAGTATGATAAAAATGCAGTGTGGGGAGCTATTTAAAATAAAAATGTATTCTTCCTCTCTCCTATCGGTCTTCTAGGCTCTCTCCTACTCTCCTAAAGTAGAGCTCTATCCAAATTCAATTTTTTTTGTTTTAGAGTGCAAAAGCTAAACTGTATGTAAAGCCCAAACATTTCATTTTTACTTACATTGTGGATATTGGGTGGCTTAGAACCCCTATAAGATCATTTTTTAATATCTGTGTCCTGTTTGGGAAATTCCCTTCACTTATTTCTAGGGATGGTCGAATCTGGCAGGTTTTGATTTGTGAGTGGTTCATGAAATACTGTTTGAAATTTGCAAATTGCGAACTTAGCAGTGATTTCCATTAAAAAGAGCAAGTGTTTGGAGAGGTGGGGTTTTTTAGGCACTCCAAGTGATGATTCAAAGTAATTTTTTAATATAAAATGTATAAAGTATATTTATACTTCATATTTCTACCAAAAACTAGGGGTGTGGCACTCATGTTCTGAACACCATCCCTTCCCTTTGCCCCATCCCCCCCCCCCTTGGGTACTACAGTGATTTTCATTAAAGTCTATTTGTGAGGAATGTTGATAATAAATTCTGCTCATGCAACTTGGAAAGGGACATAGAAAAAATACAAATCCTTTAAACTACATGTTTGGGAGATCACTCTAAACTGTATGATGCCAAATTCTGACATCACATCCTTTGGATGCATAAATTATTTTGTGCTTTGACATACAGCGGCACCCCAATCTGCTTAATTACAAATTAAAAAAATGTCTCTTATAGGTAGTATTGGATGTGACACCTTGTTTTTTTTATCATGCAGTAAAAGACCTGTACTGACCAGAGGAGGTAGAAGCCACAGCAGATCTGAAAGCTATAGAAGAGTTGACTTTGCTATAATCTCAAAAGCTATTAACATGGGTGTTGTTTTAACTTACCTTCAATAAGCATGGCATTAGTCCTTTAGTCTGAAGCTGCAAAAAGTTTCCAAAAATGGGCAGAGGTGAAGGCCCTGGTGGCATCTTCCTTCGCCTCCATGCATATTTGACATAGAACAGTACCAGGGTGAAGGTGGCAAGACCCACCAGTCCACATGTAACATTATTGAGGACTGTCATGACTGGTATACACTGCTTCTGCTGAGGCTTTGAGCTTTCACAGCCAGAGTCTCCTATACATTCCATGGAATGTGGGCGTTTAGCTGTGTGAACTGTTAGAGGAAATCTTGCTTTGAATCCTAATTCTGTTTAGATTTGCTTACATTCCTGATACAGTCCCTAGAGTGTCTGCAAGTGGCCAGCACATTAAAGGCAAAGGCAAATAATAAATTTGCACAAAATGTTTACTTATTCTTTTTCTCCATTGGAGCCAGTAAAGTATTGCCACCGTGATCATGGGTGCAATGCTCTGTCTCCTGCAGATTCTCCCTCCCCTCTATGTCCATACCAAGGTACAGACATTTGAGCCCTCTTCACACCAGGGCGTAGCATTCCCATTGATCCCCATTGGGACCCTGGATGCGCCCCAACCGTGAAAATGTCCTGTCAAATAGATGACGATTCTATGCGGACAAAGTCATATGCATAGGCAGGGGCGTCCCGAGGCCGGGTGTCACCCAGAGCGGCGATCGTCATCACGCATGCGCAGCGATTTTATTGATAGCTGACAGCAGCCATCTTGGTGATGGACGCTGGCAGAGAGAGGGAGAGAGGAGGGGACACGACAGCATGTCTTATCCCGCCAGGTGGCTGTCCCCTCCTCTCTCCCGGATCTGTTGGGCTCTCAGTCCATGACTGAGTGCCCGACTTTTCAGAGGGGGGTGACACCAAAATGACTGTCAGTCATTTTGGTGTCACCCCTCCAACGGTGTCTCCCGTGTGTGGGCCGCACCCCCTGCACACCCCTTGTGACGTCACTGTGCACAGGAGCAGTGAATTCAAAAGGAGTTCAAAAACTTTCAGGAGCCTGCAGGGAGAGAAACACCACAATTCAGGTACGGTGGGGGGGAGTGGCATGCGGGTGCTGGAGTTGCAGAGGTGACCATTTTTTATGTTGCACCTATTAAGGGTGTATATGGGTGTGTATATGGGAATATGGGTGTAGCATGGACGTATTAAAGGTAAACTTAGCCTTAATGGTGTATGATATACAGTCATGTACAGTATAGGGCAGTAGTAGTGCACTAGTCAACAAATAAATTGTACATAAAGGGGGTTTAAAAGCAGCTACAATATGTCCAGAGGGCTGCACAACTGTTTAGCTTTCAAACATATTACATCACAACGCACCCTGGAAAAATGATCTGCTTGTGTAACAGGTTAATGTAACAATATGATAAATTGGATTTTGTGGTCAGAAATTACCACGATGGTGACATTTTTGGGTTTGCAATTGTTGAAAGTATAAATTACATTGTGTTTGTCTATGCAAGTGCTTGATGCTCATACTGTAAATTAAAATGTCATCCAGATTATCCAGTGCATTTTAGGGACCCGGGCAAAGGACATTTCGGAGCAGGCCAGCTTTCACAGCACTACCTAAAGCCTGTATCCTCCTCCGTCCTCATATCCTATAAACTTTGTATAGAACGCAGTGATTTACAGGACCTTAGACCGCTGCAGTGGAGGAAGAATGAGGCTTCAGGGACCTGTCTAAGTGCAAGTCGGCTCTAAGGATCAGGTGAGTATAACTTAACCCTTGGGTTATGTGGGTAGCCCCACTGCAAGGGTTATTAATAATTAAAAAAATATATATATTATTTTCTTCGTTAAAAGAGATACACAGTGCTTTAGCCAACTAAATCACATTCATTGGGGTTTACATTTACTTTAATTCTATCAGCATGTCCTTTATGAACACTTTTCTTGTAAAAAGCAAGTACTGCACATAAAAAAAGGAAAATTATTATACAGTAAAAAAGTAAAACAATTATTTATATAGCGCCAGCAATTTACTCAGCGCTTTTCATAATGCACATTCACATCAGTCCCTGCCCTCAAGGAGCTTACAATCTAAGATCCCTATCTTACCCGCATACAAGGGCCAATTTAGACAGGAGCCAAATTAACTTTCCAGCATGTCTTTTGGAGTTTGAGAGGAAACCGGAGTAGCTGAAGGAAACCCACACAAGTACAGATAGAATACTGACCAGATAGTGATCTGGTCAGTATTCGAACCAGGGACCCCCAGTGCTGCAAGGCAACAACCACTGCAAGGTGCTAACCACTCCACCACTGTGCTGCACATTAGGAATTAAAGTTATAATTAGGAATAGTCATACATAGAAACGTGGAAATGCAATCAGAAAATGATATATTTTCTAATGAAAAATACAACAATGAATACAGGATCACAAGTAACAACACAAGATACATTGAAAACAACAATAGTACTAGTTAAAAAAAGAATGAAAGAATAGACCCACAATTAAAAAATATTACAGGCCATAGCCAAATGGCCCAATTTATACAATTTCAGACAAAATACATCATTGTTATATAAATATTCGTATATGTATTTATAGTGTTAGCTTTAATTCTGCTGGTTGATGTCTGAAGGGTGCTTATTCCCCACAACCTTGCATCATATAATCTGTCATAGAACACTAGATGTGGTCAATTAATTTGACTGGTTGCAAGATTTTATGTGTAAGGTCCAACCTATGTGTTGTAAGGTCAAGCATGGAGTTTGCAGTGCCTATGGCAAGACCTGTGATGAGATTTAAGATTAAAAAGAATGGCTTTGTGGTACCGAGCAGAATAGCACTTCAATGAAAAGAGTGAAGAAATAAAAATAGTTGAAAAAATATTTTTTTAAATGTAAATAAATGTTAAATCTAAAAACATAAAGATGAAAAAAATTAATTTAAAAAAAAGCAATCAAGGAAGCTAGGCAGAAAAAGTCATCTGTACCCTAACAGCAGTAGGACACTAGGCAGCAATATTTACAGGCCAATACAAATGAGGAAAGCACCTAAAGCACCTTATCTAAGCACTTAAAATCGAATCTTTTGTGTTCACATGCATTTATGTGTATTAACATGCATTTAGACCCATGGTTTAGTATATTTAATCAGTACTATATTTTATCTAAAAGCAGCTAAGTTTAATGCATCAAACATAGGTATATGCACATGGTGAATTATACCAATAAAATCATCATATACATTTAGAAATATCTTGTAAAAGCACATCAATGTAAATAATAACAGGTTTGTCAAAGCCAGTGTGACTGAGGCCTTAGATGGCCATTGATTTGGGGGCTGGTATACTGCTCATTTGTATATAGTGGGTAAAAATATTCGTATTAAAAGAGAACACAATGTACATGCATGCTTTTATATCCACCTGAAAACCCTCATCAAGTTACAAGATTGCTCAGCTCTCTGCTTGTGACAGTTGCAGTGTCCCACAGTGGCTGGTGAAAGTGCGATTTTGGATTTCCGTGTCAGGAATCCCAAATATGCCTTTTAGATGCGACTGTTGTAACCTGTAAAAGTTAATGGTTGGGTGACATATCCACCAATCAGCCATAACATCATGACCACCTGCCTAATATTTGGTAGGTCCCTCTGTTCTGGCCCACGGGGATAACATTTATTGATTTACTTTTTCAAAATCAGCCTCAAGATGGTGCTATAGAGAAACATTTCTTTCACAACAGAGCACACTGTTGTGAAAGAAACACAACAGTGTGACTTCTATGATAAGTTCCCAGCAACTTCTAGCCCAAGGAGAAAGGGTATAAGTGTATTCTAGGAGCTCAGCCTCCATTTTGGAACCAAAAAGAATAGAATCTGATGCTATCCTGAGCGCATGTCTGGAGTAAACACCCAGATTCCCTTTACGGCAGCATCGCAGTAGGGAGGGACTTGTTTCTCTATGTTCATATATTGATTATATGTTTTCATGCTCTTTTTTTACCAGTTTAACCTCACCCTGTTTTGTTAACAAAGCTTCAAGATTTCATCCAATCTGGCTTATTGCAGAATAGGAAGGTTTAGCTGCATGTTGAGCTATACACAGGCCACAGGTAATGTGTAGCAAGGACAGAACACCCCCTTTTGCTGCAAAAACCGCCTTGAACTGCCAAGCCATGGACTCCACTAGACCTCTGAAGTATCTGGAACCAAGCTGTCAGCAGTAGATCCTTTAGATCTTGTAAGTTGCGAGGTGGGGCCTCCATGGAATTGTTTTTCCAGTATATCTCATAGATGAATTGAGATCTGGAGAATTTGAAGGCCAAGTCAACACCTCAAACTTGTTGTTGTGTTCCTCAAACCATTCTTGAACCATTTTCCTGCTGAAAGAGGCCGCTGCCATTGGGTAATACCGTTTCCATGTATTTGGTCAGCTACAATGTTTAGGTAGGTCTTACATGTTAAAGTAACGTCCACATGAATGGCAGAACCCAATGTTTTCCAGCTGAACATTGTCCAAAGCATCATACTGCCCTTGCTGTCTTGGCTTCTTCCCATCTTCCTATAGTGCATCCTTATGCCATCTTCAGTTCTGACGCTCCTAGATAATTTGGTGGTGGTGAACACGGGTCAGCATGGGCACCCTGACCAGTCTGCCGCTCTGTAGCCCCATATGCAACAACCTGTGATGTGCTGTGTGTTCAGACACCTTTCTATTAGAAGCAGCATTAACTTTTTTAGCAATTTAGTTACAGTAGCTCTTCTTTTAGTCCATGACCCTGTCGCCAGTTCACCGACTTTCCTTTCTTGGTCCACTTTTGGTAGGTCCTGACCAGGTGCCATTGTAGTGAGTTAATCCATGTTATTCACTTCACCTCTGAAGGTGGTCATAATGTTATGGCTGATAGCTGTACGGTGGCATGCGGACTGCCGTGAAGTGCCACTTACAGATGCAGCCACTGCCAACTGATCATTAACATGAACGGGTGGCAGCAGCTGCATCTAAACAGTATATTTGGGATTTCTGTCACGGGAATATGAGTCCCCTTAGGAGAACAAAGGGGAGGCATGTATACAGGTGAGCATAAAAATGAAAGGCTCAGAAGCTGTAGATTGTAAGCACGTTTGCATAAAGCACCACTAACTGGCTCTCATTCCTCTACCAGTCTCAATGCTGCTATATAGGGGATTACAAGTGGC